GGTGGAGGATCAATGTGAGCTGTACAGTCAGGTGGAGGATCAATGTGAGCTGTACAGTCAGGTGGAGGATCAATGTGAGCTGTATGGATGGATTTTAAAGTGAAAAATGGTGACTGAAGTTAAACAAACTGCCAACTATGGAGTTGACAGTTATAGGGATGCACGTCTGTCCCTGAGCAGAAAAGAAAATGCATTACAGCTCAGACAATGATCGTCCCAACAATCAATAGGAAACCAAAGTAACATTCCTCTGTTATAATCTTGAACATATAAAAATATTTTAGTGTTAATGTTCAACCCCAAGAACAAAAACGGCAGAAACCGTCGGACTCAAACGGGCTGTGTGCTCCTGCAGTGCTGCCCCCTCTCTGCTAACAGGAGTTTAGTTGCATGTTGGAGTGTCTGCATGCCAAGAATATTCTGAACGCATTAACTTTTAATTAACATTCAATACAAAAGTACATTTTAGATACAACCGTCCCGGCGAGGTCATATTATGCTTTGAATATTTCTGGGCCCTGAGCAGATTTAGTCATCCTCTGTACACTATAACGATGAGCTATTTCTGATGAAGAGCAAGTTAAATGTGAACCGTTTGCAGTGCTTCCACTGCCATTATACAAGCGGGCGCACCGCCCCCTCTCCTGAACCGCGTGCACGCACACATACACACCCGTCAACAAAAATCGAGATGAGCACCCTGCCATGGCAAGTTACCTAGGGGAAACACCGATTAGTGTATTGACAAATGGGGGGAAAACTAATGGTTTCCCATCTTTTTTTCTCTCTGTGGTTTGCTCCCAGTATCAACCAAAGGGGGACTCACAGCTCTGCAGGTCCGTCCTGCTGCTTTCAGAGAGGAACACCTCCCACGTTGTTGGAGTTCTGCGCTACGTGAAGCGAACCAACGCCCTGCTGCCCCCAGAACTCGTAGCCTTTGCTCAGGGGGTCCATGAGGCCCGTGAAGACCAGAAGGTGGATCGCGCCCTCTGTAGCTACCTGAAGAGTTTTGGATTCTGCAGGTTTGTTTACCGACCAGTGGATTCTGCACATGATCAAACTTTTGACCAGGATTCTGAAACGATCTGTTTTAAACTGAACTTGTGTTCAGTTTATTTACATTTTGTCAAGTCACACCAGAAGTCATCTCAGGGCACTGAGCAGAAACATTCACCAGTAGTCCCTCGCTACTTCGCGGTTCAGTTTTCACGGACTCTCTCTATCGCAGCTTTTCAAAGTAAGATTGGACACGACGCACAATTGGCAGATTAATGGATGAGCCGCACGATCGTCATGGAATTTTTATTTAAAATTATTTAAAATAATAATAAATAAATAATTATTTGGCACCTGCTGCATCTGTTGCAGCCCACAGCTGCAGGAGAAGCTTCCTCCTGCAGTGTGTCATATCTCCACTCTGCAGAGAATGGGCGTGGCCAAGAGCTGAGATCATGACATTCTGTGCTCTTTGAGAGCATTTAGAGTTTAGAAACATTGTTTAGAATATTGCAAGTGTGTAGGATAGGTTTAAAACACACACATATATATATATATATATACTCATTATTTGTACTACTATTCCTACTTTGCAGTTTTTCACTTATCGTGAGGCTTCAGGGTATGGATGCCCCGCAATAAACGAGGGACTACTGTACATAAAAACGCCAATATGTTAAAGTTCTCTTATCTCAGGAAGCAGCAGATTGTGTTGAATCTTCACTTCCTCACAGTCTCCCATCCTGAGCAAGAACAAAGGAGACAGTGGAAAGGAAAAACTCCCTTTGAACAGGAAGACGCCTCCAACAGAACCAGGCTCGGGACGAGCGGCCATCTGCTTCGACCGGCTGAGTTTGAGAGGAACAGGAAGGAGAGACGAGCAGAACGTCAGGTCCAGGTGTACTTTCTATAGGAGGAAAGACAAATAAAGTCAGTTCAACATTTAATCAGAATGGCACCGCTTTTTATACGTCAAGATTTAAAACATCGTATTAGGTTTAAAGAAAGCTGTTAATGGCTTTACATAAGTTAAAGAAAAGAAAAAAAATAAATTTACATTAATAATCAGAAAAAAATCAAACATTCAAGAATGATAAATAGTTAAAAAGTAACTAAATAAAGTCTAAACTTGAAATGTTAAACACAGAAGTATATTCAAATGATGTGGCTTCAATTTGTCGTCTTATCCACATCACCGTAAAACGGTTTGAACCCAGCTCCAAGGCTGCGAGCCTTGCTGCCCTTCCACTTGGTCTTCTGGACACACAAACATCTACCTTCCTTCTCAGCATCATGTCAGCCAGCTCTCTACCTTCCTTCTCAGCATCATGTCAGCCAGCTCTCTACCTTCCTTCTCAGCATCATGTCAGCCAGCTCTCTACCTTCCTTCTCTGCATCATGTCAGCCAGCTCTCTACCTTCCTTCTCAGCATCATGTCAGCCAGCTCTCTACCTTTGCCTGTCATTGTCCCCATATTTAGAGTTGCCACCCTCAGTCCTACATTCTTGACTTGTTGCAACCCAGTGAAAACAAAACAAGTTTAAAATAGTTTTTATCTATATCAAGAAGATATGTATTGTATATTGTATATGTATGTAAGATTTGTATTGAACGCTTTTTGAATATATCAAGAAGCTTTGAAAATACAAAAACATTTAAGAAGCCCTAAATAAAACACCGCCGCAAGAAAAGACGCACACTTTGCAAATAAATTATCCAAGTCATAAAACCGTTTTAACCGTTTCTCTTTAAGAGCAAAAATGTTCTCCATCCCTGGCTGACACCCCCCCCCCCCCCCCCCCAAAACAGACGCCTAAAGGGAACAATGTACAGTAAAGGAAACTACCTTGAACTTAGTGGGTGATGTGGAGTGAACAGCCAGGATCCAGTTTGTCCAGTGGTCAAGCTGGCTGATGAAAGTACTAGTGTTTTTTCATGAGTGTGTTTGTAACAAAAAATCTTTTTTAAGATCTCGCGTGTGTGTGTTCTCCTACAGAGACAGCAGTGTGTGCCCGGCTCGCCATCGATTTAATATCCAGCTTGATCAGTCGGTGCTCCCGGCATCTGGAGTCATTGAAGTAAGAATGGTTTATTTTAAGTCATCACGTTTTCTTATCCAGAGCATGATGCTTTAATTTCAATTCAGTTTATTTATATAGCGCCAATTCACAACAAAGTTGTTCCAGGGCAACGAACAGAAACATTCACGTACATAGAAAAGCCAATTAGTAAAGTTCTCCAAGGAAGCCAGTTAGGGATGCACCATATTGGATTTTTGGCCGATATCTGATACACCGATATTTTATATACGTTCCTTTGTCAGAGCATATCATCTTATTTAGGCTTATTTGCTACAAATATTGTGCAACAGCTATAAGAGCTGGTGACATATATTCAGTAACAGTCATATGATCTGCATAGCTCTTTAACTTATATTAAATGAAAAGTGTTAAATGTTATTTATTAGCATTAGTCACCTGTGATGCTGTCTCACCTGTGGAGGCTTGTTCCAGGTTCCTATAGCTGCAGGGTGGGATCCTCTGCACTCCTGTGCATGAAGGACAGACTTTTTAACTTCAAAGTTTTTGTCTATCCATTGTTCTGTAAGACTAATCATGCTAACGAGGCTAACAGGACGTCCAAATGTCTGTGGTAAAACTCACCCAACAAGTCGTGCTATCGGCCGTTAGCTTCTCAATGACGTCGGAAATGACGGCTTGTAACTCGAGTAATGTTACGTCAGAAAAGTATCTCTGACTGTGGACGATGTAGCGAGACTAAACGTAGACATCCTCACCAACGAAAAAAAAAACTTTCACATCACCGACATTTTGAATTTTCCACTCCGCCGTGAGATCAGGTAGGCGCACGTGACGTCACGTTGTGCTGACACTGCAGGCATCCTTGTCACTGGGTTGTCATACAAAAACAGTGTCTTTTATATCGGTGAGGTATTTTGATGGAATGTCCGATATCAACCGATACTGTGCCGATAATATTGTGCGTCCCAAAAGCCAGCAGACTCGTTGAATCTTCACTTCGTCAGTCTCCCATCATGAGCAAGCACAATGGCCACAGTGGAAAGAAAAAACTCCCTTTTAACAGGAAGAAACCTCCAGCAGAACCAAGCTGAGGACCAGCGCCCATCTGCTTCCACCGACTGGGTTTAAGAGGACAGGAAGGAGAGACGAACGCAGGTCCAGATGTAGGTGCAGGGCAACCTCTTATTGGAAGAAAGTCAAGTCAAAGTCACTTTATTGTCAAAAGCTGCAAAATGTACAGGACATACACAGGATTGAAATTACATTACTCTCAGACCCCAGTGCAACAATAACCATTTAACATTAAAACATTTAATAAACATAAGCATAAAATGAAATAATAAAAGCATGATACTGTCTTAAATTGTACTATAGCGGTATAAAAAATATTTTAAAAAGTATATCTATAAAATGAAGTGAAGGTTCTGACACTGACATTTGTAGTAAGTGGCAAAGCAGCATATGAGGTGAATGTACACAGTGTATGTATGAAGTCCTTGATACTGATGTAGGAAAAGTGACATGCAATAAGGCTAGTAAAATATATATATATATATATATATCAACGGTAGTGTAATATAAGCAGCACTGTGAATATACACAGTAGTGTGAATGTGAACAGTAGTATGAATACGAACAGTAGTATGAATATTAACAGTAGTTTGAATATTAACAGTAGTTTGAATGTGAACAGTAGTATGAATATTAACAGTAGTGCAAACAGACAAAAACACATGCTAACGATAGAAATATTACAAATACAAAATGGGTTGAGCTGAGTAAAGACGGTAACATGGTGAAGAAACGTGGTCTGTTTGTCCTCCAGCAGTCTAAGATATATTTACATAAAGGTTTTTGTCACTTCAACCTTTATTTATACAGGTTTGTCTCATTGAGCCTCAAGCTTACCGTCCATCACCCTCCAGATGTTGGATGCTGTCCATCATGGTGCAGTAAGATTCATAACTGGCTGTAACTACCGTACCCACCACTGCTCCCAGTATTCACTGGTTAACTGGTCACCATTAACCTCACACAGACTCTCACTGGCACATTGCCATCTTTAAATCACTTCCTGGTCTGCTGCCTTCATACATCTCCTCCTACATGTCTCTGTGTGAGTGCAGCTACAGCGTGCGCTCTCGGGACATCATTACCTGCAGTGTTCCCTCGTTCCCTCAGTGAGGACTGAACTAGACAAAAGGACCTTCTCCTACTTCGCTCCCATTTCCTGGAATATCTTGTAAAAAGACCTGAAGCTCTTGACCTTTGACCTCTAAGCAACTTCAAACATCTGTTAAGTTCATGTCAAAAACCAACAGACGTTCCTGTTTTTAGTTTTCTACACCGCCTTACAATCTAGCTGTTTTTTTTTTGTTTGTTACATTTTCTTTTAAAACCCGTTTTATTTCCACTTGTTAAAAATAAATTCTCAATTTGCACGCATCCTTTATAATTGTCGATTATTGTCTTTGTTGTCCACTGTTGTCATCGCTCTCTGTTAAAACCAGGTCTCTCTTGTAAATGAGCCCCAGAGGCTCAATGGGATTAACCTGTAGAAATAAAGGTTGAATGAAAAAAACATGCATCAATCAGGAAGGGAATGCTCAATTTAATTGTAAAATAAATCTTTGTAAATCTGGAAGATAATTACATAAACTGTTGTTCATTTTTTAAATCCGTCTGTGTTAGGTTGTGCCTCTGTACGTGAAGTCGGCCTCGGTGTTTTGTGGGCGGATGGTCAGGAAGGATGACGGACGTTTTGACGTGATGGCCTCTGAGATGGCGTCTTATTATGCTGACAAGAAACCGGGAGCAAAGGAGCTGCTGGAAGGAGGTTTATATGCCGTGCAGGAGGACGAGGTCTTCCACAGGTCTGACCTTAAAACTCCTCACGTAGAAAAATATGAAACCCTTTTCATCCCAGCACAGGAATGATCGCGACGCTAGGTTTGCATCTATTAATGCTGTTGCACTAGGTTGCAACACTTCTGCTTTTCATTTTGTTTTTTGCCTTAAATGGATTTTCAATTATTGTGTGAATGTTTTTCAAAAGACTTCATCAGTCAGAGGAGCCACACCAAACTCAGTCTTATAAATATCACTTTACATAGTGGGTCAACCAGTTTGTTGGTGCTCAGATGGTTTCTGGAGTCTGTTGAAACATCATCAGACTTCTCATCAAGTCTTTTGGATGAAAGATGAACCGTTTCAACAAAAAGAAACTGTCCAGAGGACCCGACTTAACCTTGTTGGATTTTATACCTGGATTATGGAGCATGAACTTTGATGTTTTGAACCACTTTGGCCATGGCTGCCTCAGAGGAGTCGACGGGGGAGAGGGCGGACTCCAGAAACCATCTTATCATCATCAAACTGGTTGGCTCACTTTGTGAGTGTGCTGCTTGTGGGACTGAGTTTGTTTTGGCTTCTTGGACTGATGAAGTCCTTTGGATGAAAGACGAAAAGTTTCGGCACAAAGAAACCGTCCAGGGGTCCTGACTTTGTTGGATCCTGGACCAACATTTCAGAAAAGGTTGTGTAAGTTTGGGGGTGTCAGTGGGTCACAGGCCTTTAGAGAATACTGTATGCAACATGTTTGCACCTGGGTCTTATTATGTTTTATGCACTTTAATCTGTTTTAAATGCATCTGCGATTCCATACTTCTGCTCATCTGAAAGGTTTTCTGTTACACTTTTATCTTCTTGTGTAGCTGATCCAGATGTAAACATCTGGACACGGAAGCTGAAATGGTAAACCAAATGTATATTTCAGTTTACAGCAAAAGGAACGGAGTTGGCCTCACTGTTCCAGTACTTTTAGAAGGGAGTGTATCAATCATCATAAACACGATGGCATTTTGTTTTTATTTTATTAACGTTTAAGCTTTGAGGTGTCTGATAATTGACATTGATCTCATGAAATGTCCATGAAAAAGCGTATTTTTAATAAAGAAGAAATGGACCCGTCTGTGTACCTTAAAGTAACGAGTGTCTGATCTCTTGTGTGCAGAGTGAAGATCCTCTCAATCCCAGATTACGGTGACAGCCTGTTTTTTTCTGTTCCCGTGATCTTCATCGATGTTGGAAAAGAGGTTGAAGTTAAATCTCATCAGATTCTTCAGCTCCCGGAACAGTTTCAGTCTCTGCCGGGCCAAGCCATTGAAATTATAATCTGCAGGGTAAAACCAGCTGATGCCGAGATGAACTGGCACCCTAAGGTTTGCAAATATTAACACTTTAATATTACTACTAAAACACATTTGATTTGACTTTATTTTTGCTGCACTGCTTATTGTTTGAAACTATAATACAATTATTAGATAATCTGATCAATATATTATTTCCTCAACATTTTTGTGCTAAAAATGCTTTAAAATATTCAAGATTTTGTGTTTAATTCCTGACATGTCAGATTGCATGTTTCCTGCACACTGACATTACATCGAGGTTGAGACGCATGAAAAACTAAAAACACAAAAATCAGTTTTCAGCAGGTGTGAAATTAATATTTTTAACGCATTAAGAAGTTTGTTAGACTAATAAATACAGGAAATTAGAATATCGTGAAAAAGTTCATTTTTGAGGCACCGAATTTTAAGTTTTTCATTATCTGTAAACCGTAATCATCAAAATTACAAGAAATAAAGTCTTGAAATATTTCACTCTGTAATTAATCTGAGTTTCATTTTCTGAAGTGATTGACAAAAATAACTTATTCACAATATTCTTCTTTTTTGAGCTGCAGCTGTACATTTCTTCATTGACAGAGAAAACTAAAAATAACCGTTTCAAATAAAACCCAAATGGCCAGCTTCATTTTGAGACTTTATTCATATTAAATGAAGTCTGGAATGATTAAATAACTTTCATATGTAAACGTTTCTAGTCTACAGCCTCATAAAAACAAATCGGCTGCTGATTTTAAATCTTTGTTTTCATCGACTCTGACATCAGAACAACTTTTTTTGTCTCGGTTGTTTTTGGTAATGGCTACGTTTCCAGTGCCGTCTCTGTTCCTGTTGTTTCTTTACTGGTTTGTGATGTTCAGTTCAACACTTTCTGTCTTCCAGGTCACCAGAACCATCAGCCAGAAGATCCAAGGTCTGCAGCATCAAGCGAGAGCCGTCTTGAGTCTGGGAAACACGGTTTTTGTTGACCCTATGGTGAGTGTTGGTTCCATTCTGTGATTTTTTTTAGGGATGCACCGATCCACTTTTTTTTTTTTACTTCCAATCACGATACCTAAATCTGGATATCGGCTGGTTACCGTCTCGATATCATCATCATCATCATTATTGATTTTATATGAGGCTGTAATAATCTCCTCTCTATAGGCAAGAACAATTTGTACAAATATCTGCATGTATGTCCAAAAAGGCAACATGAGGTAAGTTTTATTAATGTTGGATAAGTTTCAAAGTTAGAATTAATTCCTAGTGCTAACATAAAACATGTTTTATTTTTTTATTCCCAGCTTTAAAGTGGATTTTAAGGTGATTAGATGGTGTCAAACACTTGCTAAGTTCTTGGCATAAACCAACTCAGACGTTCCTGTTTTTAGTATTTTACATGGCTTCATAATGTAGCTGTTTTTTTTTTTTTTTATATAAATATAATTTTCTTGTATTTTTCAATTCATATGCTTTTTATGATTATCTACTGTTGTACTGATAAATATCTCCCGGAGGGTAAACTATATCTTCGCTTCAAAATCCTTTGTTTTCTACAACTGATGTTGGTTGGTCATTAATTACGATGAAGTTTAGCAACTTCTCAGTAAACATTCGAGCTCCTTGGTTTCAGCGGTGTCTTCTTCTCGTTCAGTCCGGAGACGGCAGTCTGATTTCTGTCAGCCGCGCTCAGTCTGCCCCTCCTCCGACACGGACAGACCGA